TGCAGCAGTGAGAGCACTGTTAAAGTGAGAAAAAGCAAGCCTTATGGCTTGACTGTTGTGTGTATTTGTGTTTAGCAATGTATTAACTATCTACTTAGTTCAGGTGGAAGGGGTTTTCATCCACACTTTTTTCCCCCACAACAACTAGATTGGTATGTGTGTGTGTGTGTGTGTATGTATGTGTGTGTGTGTGTATATATATATATGGCAATACCAATCAGGCTAGATCACAACAAACAGCAACTACATGATATATAGCTAAATATACATCAACTACATGATATATAGCAATAACAAGATATATAAACACAAACAGCAAGTGTGCTATTGATAGCAATTACAGGATATATGATGTGGCTGATCAATGTATATTACTGTATTTACACTGCACTATTACTTTTGGCAATTTTTTTGTAATTCAGTTTATTAAGCCAAGGACACTTTACTGTGTGACATTGAATGCACAATGTACTAGTACTTAGCGTTCTGATAATTATTAATTATCATTGAAAGCCAAGTTGCAAAATGTATACAATAATTTGGAGAAATTCTCCAATGTCGCTATGGTTACAACTTGGCTATAGGCTATTTAGCCTATTGGCTTAAAGGAACACTTCAAACACACAAAACAATTGAAAATGGCACTTTTATAAAACAATGTGGTGACACCTCCCTGGCTCTTTTCAGACAGCCAGGAAGGTTTTCTTCTATTTCCTTTAGCTTCACTGAACTTACAGAAATGGCAGGGTCTTGACTAGAGCCCACGTGCTTTCAGCTGCACAACACACTCTGCACGACTGCATGTGTGTGTGCGCATGCCGGCACTACCCCTTCTAACAGTTATTTACTAAAGAGAGGATTCAATGTAAATTTCCAATTTAAATGGACACTATAGTCACCAGAACAACTACAGCTTAAAGTAGCACGATAGGCTCAAGAACACAAACATATATTCCTGACCCTATAGTGTTAAAACAACCATTTAGGTGGCTCCTTAATGACATCAGAATTTACGAAAGGGAAAGCATTGGATTGGCTGAAATCGGCAAAGGAGGTGGTATGGGGGTGGGGCCAAACACCTTTTTGGCCAATCAGCCCCTCCTCATAGAGATGCATTGAATCATTGCATCTCTATGAGGAAAATTCAGGAGATGCTTAACGGCAGTGCTGCCTACTGTGCAGCACTGACGTAGGAAGCACCTCCAGTGACTATCTGAGGAATGGCCACTAGATGTATTCCTAGGGGCAATGTAAACACTGACTTTTCTCTGCCACGGCAGTATTTGCATGAAAATTCCTGAAGGGAATGATTATACTCACCAAAACAACTAGCAGCTATAGTTGTTCTGGTGACTATAGTTGTTCTGGTGAGTATAGTCCGTCACTGCAGGCTTTTTGTTGTAAACACTGTCTTTTTAGAGAAAAGACAGTGTTTACATTACAGCCTAGGAACATCTTTAGTGGCCACTTCTCAGGCATGGAGAAGCTGAACTTTCCCCATAGAGATACATTGCTTCAATGCAACTCTATGAGGAGATGGTGAATGGCTCCGCCCCCATCCTGTCTCCTTGGCTGAGATCATCAGAATTGACGATCTCAGCCAATCCAATGCTTTCCTATGGGAAAACATTGTGATTGGCAGAGATTATCAATTCTGATAATGTCAGCCAAGGTGGCGGATTGGGGCGGAGCTAGCGGACCTACGCAGAGCTTGAAATAAGATGAGTTTTTACTAGCTATATTAACACTATAGGGAAATACGCGTTTGTGTTCCTGACCCTATAGTGTTTCTTTAACCCCTTAAGGACACATGACATGTGTGACATGTCATGATTCGCTTTTATTCCAGAAGTTTGGTCCTTAAGGGGTTAAGGGCAAGAAACACAAACTGTAAAAAAAACTTCTAAGTCAGCTAAGCTTTTAGTCCATCTACTCTGGTCTGGATGGAGAGGAAGGGGTTAAACTTACCTCTTTCTCCAGCGCCGGGCGGGGGACTCTCCTTCTCCTCGGCTGAATGCGCATGCGCAGCAAGAGCCGTGCATGCATTCATCCAGTCTCATAGGAAAATCACAGTGAGAAGAACGTAAGCGCCTCTAGCGGTTGTCAATGTGACAGCCACTAGAGGCTGGATTAACCCATTTATAAACATAGCAGTTTCTCTGAAACCGCTATTTTTATAGAAAAAAGGGTTAATCCTAGCTGGACCTGGCACCCAGACCACTTCATTAAGCTGAAGTGGTCTGGGTGCCTATAGTGGTACTTTAAATTTGAAATTCACTTGGAATATTCATTTTCACTAAAACCCTGCAGAACTTTCACTGAATGTACTATGACTCTCTCAGAGGTGTGTGACTGAACCCCACCACACAGTCTTCTCAATATGAAACTTCTGATCGGTCAGTCTTCTGTACAATGGATGGAGTAACAGACGCCGTACAATGGATGGAATAACAGACGCCGTACAATGGATGGAATAACAGACGCCGTACAATGGATGGAGTAACAGACGCCGTACAATGGATGGAGTAACAGACACGTATTTGTAACCAGACAAGTTGGATGCACAGGAGCAGAGGGATTGAGGGGAGATTGAAAGTTTATTTTGTGGGAAAGGGGGAGGGCTCGCAGTAGCCGATTGCAAGCTAATATTTCAGTATAATATATCTCCTAATATTAGTAGTAAAGTTAGGTGCATCACTCCCTTTGTATGTGTATTTTAGAAGTCTTCCATTAAACACTTATAGAATAACACTGCATTGTGTTGTGTGGTTGCTCTGCAATTGTTCTAGTTGACATTTATATAATCTATCATTGGTTGATAAGGTGATTATGTATTCCTCAGTGAGTGTCGAGAATCTGGCATTCTTCTTTATTCATAGCTGTGTCTTGACAGCTGGGTTACCATTGCAGTCCGGATACTGTGAAACATATTTCGACTTCCTGCTACAATAGCTAGTAATATTGTGATGACTTAGTATTGTGGTTTGCCCTGTGCCAACAGCAGCAGATTTGTAATTCCAGTGTCTGCAGCTCGGAGGTGCCAGTAACTCTTGCCAGAGGTGCCAGTAACCTTTCAACTCCACAATGAACCAGTGTCGATCCCACAATGCACCTGGAAACTATGTGAAGTAAATGTACCTTTCCTGGTTAAATATTATTGACTTCCTGCTATAAAGCACAACTTTGCTAATACTGTGATGACTTCATATTGTGGACCATGGCAGCAGAATTATAACTTTTAAGTGTTAGATACCCTGAGCTTGTCATTCTGAACTAAAGGAAGTTTTCCTGGTACCTCTTACCCTGTGTCTTGCTAGGCATTGTGCGTGAACTTAGTGTGGAGTGAGAAATTATATTTTCACTTTTGTCTCCTATTTTGGTTATCTGATATCTACAGATATTCTAGACCAGATATCTAAAACTCTGCCCCCCCACCCCGAAATGTTGCAGAAATTCAACTCCCATGATTCTGTGACCGTTCTTTGTATGCAAAGATTTCTGGGACTTAGAGTCCAAATTTAATAAATGCTGTACTAAAAACAAATATATATCAGTGATGACTAATACTGAAACCATGATACACAACCAGCCTAAAATCAGCATGAGTCTATTATGATGTCACTTAGAATGCTGCAGTCTCCTGTGCAGCCTCCACACTAACCTGGAGAGAGCGAGGAGAGGTAGGTTATGCTCTGACAGGCTCTGTCCCAGTAAATGATGTAATGTAGTGCTTGCTTGTAAGGTTAGTCACCCACTATGGCTTGACAAACAACATGGAGATGGTGCAAATTGTACAGTATAAAATGTAATAGGAGATAACATTTGCAGTCATGTTATGGAAGGTTATGCAAATATTTATCCTTCAGGATTTCGATTCTATCTATTGTTAGATGGCAAAAACCCAAAAAGTTATGGTGGGGAAAAATTGTGATTCTTTGTTGAACTAATTTGCATATGCCCATCCAGAATCCTTTGCGGTAGTAACGTCCCTGCAAATGTGTGTTTCTTGTGGGAGAAGCAAGTCTTATGTCTTGACTGGTGTGCAGATTTTTGTTTAACATTGTACTAACTATTGTTAGGTTAATTTTCTAAAATTTCCATCACATTCTCTCACTCAATTACTGTTTTGTAATACACATTGAAATATGTTGTAATCGATACAAAATAATTATTTCATTCTGTTCAGTGGTTATATCGACCTCAATGACAATTTAGTAATAACTTTGCATTGATACTATGTTTTAGGAAATTTCTACTGATCTGTCTTCTGATGCTAATAAAAATGGAGGAAGACGGGACTCAGTCTACAGAATCTACAGTGATGACGCCAGCATCAATTTACCAAACAAGCACAGGACAATACAGTATGTATTTATTTAAATAAATCTAACCCTTATTTTTCATATATAGATATGTATTAATTGGCAAATAATTTACATTAGTGCCTAGCGTTTGAGTTCTCAAACATTTATGTTCAAAGAAATTTCAAGTTTAAACTGTCCAGTCCTGATGTCTTTGCATGACATCATAAATGACATCATTACATCACACATGACTTTGTTGATTATGTCATTAGTGACATCACTCACTAGGATGATCTGTCTGGCCAAGGAGGAAACCGCATCATGTGTGATGTGACCAGTTCTGAGGTTGATGATGTCATGCAAGGCACCCAGGTTGGGGCAGTCTAAATTTTGCATTTCTATGCTTGCAAATGTTTGAGCACTTACACTTTGAACATTAATGTAATTTTTTTTGCCAGTTAATTTCCTTAGAGGGTTTTTTTTTTAGTCCGTTTATTCCCTTGGTGTCCCCAGATGTGGGACATCCGATAACAAATGCAGGAGAGGACTGTAAATTCGGGATAGATCAAACGGTTCTAGTAAAGTTGTGAAGTATGTGTCAGGGTGTGAGCAAGTTAATGGCTGGCAGGTGAGCTGGGGCTTGTGTGTGGAGGTAGTGATTGGATGCTGAGTGGGGTGTGTTGGAGTTGGTTTATA